TGTAACATTTCACTCTTTGTGTTTGAGGCCATATCATGCAATGGGTAATTGTGCTGCAGAGAAAATAGCTGCACTATTTAATAGCCGAGACATGTAAATACTTTGCATTACATTTTGAATCCACTACCTTAAAAGAGCTCTAATTTACAGACAGAAATGTCAAAAATGTTACAACTATCCCCGGTCTCCCCTACTGAAAAAAGAAGATTTATTCATAACACAAGTGAAAAGACCCAGGAAAACCGAGTTAACGATAAAAACGATAACAAAATAAAGCTGAAAACCGATAAAAACCCTGAAAACCATATATTTCACACCAGAACCTCTACTCTCGCGGACCGGTACCGGTCCGAGGCCCGGGGGTTGGGGACCGCTGATTTAGAATACTCTACCACCCTGTTTCCCTTCCTTAAGAATGGCTTGTTGACAGACACAACTGCAAATAACACTTGTGGGAGCTTCTCAGCAGAGGAATCTTTTTTCTTTTCTTTTTTTTTTAAAGCATAAGAAACACAAGCTCTTTGTTTCCCTCGTTATATGGGATGTGGCGTTAGAAAGCTATCTTTCGTTCCAAATCGATGCTTAGACGAAAAGGCGCAACACTATATGGATTAAAGCACTGGGCCACACTTGTTCATCTTTGAATTCAAGTGTTTTCAGGCCCAGGTTTATAAAATCGAGCACCTGGCCTTGCAGTGTGCATCTAAAGAGCTCACTGCTCTCAAAGTGCACAGCGTGGTACAAGCCAGGTCATGATATATCTTCCCACCTAGATATCCCGGTATTCGTCAGATAATGTTGTCGTACAGGGAGAAATTGTTAGGAACCACAGCACCTCAGCCGTTAAAAGGCACTTGACAGTGCCGGTGTAGAGTGCCGAGAGGAGCACTGTGCGTAAAAGTTGTCAATACTCGGCTGACTCCTTCAATATTAAAAAGAATGCGTCTCCTCCCATGCGCACAATTTTTGTGGTTAAGACCCCTCCTACTCCCATAGACATCCATATTAATACCATAAAAAACCACATGCAGTAAATTTTCAGATTACAGTTAACTTGAGTGGAAAGATGAGCTGGTTCTAATTAGGGGAAAATTACAAACTGTCAGGGTGGGTGTAGAAAAGAGGACTGTATGCAGGACTCCTTTGGGAGAAGACAGTGGATTTATTTAGTGCAGTAAAGGTGCAACAG